ATTTACTAATGAGATTATCAAAGAAATTGCTAGTTCGTGTCTTAATTTAAAGTATCTCAAATTGGAAGGGTGTGATATTAGCAAAGAAGCCATAGGTCAGCTTGTTTCACTTAATTCAAATTTTCATGTTGAGAATTTCATGTATACTATAACACCACCCTCTCTTTGTGAATATTCCAGGATGTATGTACTGTCAAGGAGACTGAGAATGTCAGTTGATGCACCAAGAGATATTAAGTCCATACATGATTATATTAATAATGAACTAATGAGGAATGGACATTGTTAGAGTAAGCATTAGGGTTCCGCAAATGATTACACCCGTTGAATTCATAGTTCTTAGACCGGATTGGCCTGATTATTATCCTGACTTAGTATTAGAAATGCTATGGTTTCAAGAAAATGGTGCAACTTTGGATATATGCAATTCAAAACTATTATTAGAATGATAATTTTGCGATCCTATTCAAAGAAATAAAATGAGAATAACAATCCAAAGCAGGCCGAAGATGCTTTGCATAATAGTGTAATTTTATTTTTTGTTTAAAGATACAGCATATATTTTTTATGACGCAATCAAACATCTTTTATTTATCAGAACTATTAGAATATATTTTACATTTTTTAGCGATAGATAAATCCCTTTATCATACTCTATTTGTTTCCTGATTGTAGTATAGATGCGGTACCCCATTCTATGGAAATGCATTGACTTAAAGAGAAATGGCTATTATCGTGCAAAGAATTCCTCTCAATTGAAAAATTCATAAAATTAGTATGTGGAAAGAAACAACTAGTTTAACTAGTTTATAGCTTGAATCTAACTCATCTTGAAATTTCATATTACCATCTACTTTCTGATAAAAAAATCAATAATATTGTGCACTTATTTCCAAATATAATTCATTTAGATTTCAGAAAAGCACAGAATATAGCGATAAAGTGCTAAATCGAATAGCAGAATCATATTCAAATCTGAAGTATCTCAATTTGGGAAAGGATAAGTACGTAAGCAGTCATACTAAAATAATAACTGATAAAAACCTGTTTGCTTTAACAAACGCATGCCGTAAATTAGAATATCTAAATATTTCTCACCGCATAGAGATACCGGAACATCAATTTTAGTATTATTTGTTCTTGTCCAAGGCTCCAGAATCTCGTCCTTAGTTTTTGTGAAATTACTGATATGATTATCGGAGTAATTGCTTGTTCATATCTTAATTTAAAGTATCTTGATCTGAAGGAGTGTTATAAAATTAGCAAAGAAGCTGTAGATCAGCTAAATCGAAATATACACGTTAAGAATTTTGTGACGCCTCCTGATTTCATTGAAATAGTTAGTAATCATCTTATACTTGCTAGTTTAGCTCGGATGCGCCAGTGACATAGAGCTGGTGAAAGAATACTAGCCTCAGAATGGGTGTCACTCTGCCTTATCTAATTAATCTGGATTAGTGATCGGCTCAGAAGATGGTGATTAGCAAAAAGGCTTATTGTTGGTAAAGATGAAAAAATCATGGATCAGTTTTACGACTATATCTTAGATGTCAGTCTTAAGGAAAGAAATCATTTTTACGTAATCTTCAGTGGAATTCACTCCAGGGGGTTTGAAATTTCATGTGTGAAGATAATTCTTTACCTCTATATTTTATATCACGTGAAACAAACTCGGTAATGGCATAATTAGTATCTAATTTCAGATTTGTCAGTTGATAATTAATTTTCTCTTTAAGCCCATACATTCTTACCATCAAACTGAATCTTTCAGCCATATCTCTCATATCCCGTTCCAATTCCACAATTGACTTTTGATAATGTTCATCTTTAATCTTGTCTTCGCAGTATTGTACAATATCTTCGAGATTCGCATAAGTTAACCATAAATGTTGTACTAAATTGACTAGTGTTACCCAAAGATCATTAAGTTCTTTTTCTGGCTCCATGTCAAGCACTGAATCCCACTTTATCTTAATTTTTGGATTAAGTTTGCTCAATACATCTTTACTAACATTTGTCGACTGTATGTCAAGAAATTCTAAACTAGAATAATGTTGCGCAATTTTATCAATGATTATATCAGTAACTAGATGGCAACACCTGATATCAAGATATCTTAAATTTTTATACAAATGTACAATATTACAGATAGTTGTGTCAGAAACACCGATATCAAGATGTTCGAGCTTCGGGCAAGAGTTAGCAATGTTACAAATAGATGAATCAGTAATAAATCTACACTGATCAAGTTCAAGGTATTCTAAATTATGAATATGTTGCAACAATCTATTAACTGAAACGTCTGTAATATTATGACAACCTTTTAAAGAGAGATGGCGAAGATTAGGACATGAGTGAGCTATTGCAACTATCGTCTGATCAGAAATTGGCTTACACTGTTTTAATCCACCAATGCATAAAAGTTTTAATTTAGAACATGCTTCTACTATTTTATAAACGAAATCATCAGTGATATTCCCACAGAAACCAATATCAAGGTGGCATATTTTTTGGCACGATTTTGCAATTTTATATATGGAGTGACCAGTTATATCTTGGTCATCACAGACATTGAGAGATTCTAAGTTGGGATAAGATTGAGTAATTTCTATAAGTGATGCATCAGTAAAACTTTTATTTTATTTGAAATTTAAACTGGTTATATTTGGGTATGAGCGTAAAAACAGAATTTTATTATCTGAGAGTCTAGAATAATGCGTAATTTCTCGTAAGAATCATTGCAGTTGCGTAAGAATTATGTCATCTATACTTCTCTGCAGTAACTGAGATGCTTTACATGATCGATCATCAGCTCAGAAAATTTCGCTGAGCCACACGCCTGTACTCTTGTACAACAAAAATAGGCTGATCACATAATAGGTCTGTGCGACAGCCGTTAAGACGCTAAAGCATATTTTTGCATATATATTCAAAAAAGAAAACATACTAACCTTTGTTCTTTATTTTTCCCAAATAAATATGAGAAAAATGTAAAAGGAGGTCTACACGTAACATAGGACCTACTGTAAAAGTAAATAGTGCTGATAAAAGTATATGTTATGAAAGGCTGAGAACTTTGTAATTTTGAGATCTACAAGAACTAACTACCTTTACGTCTCTCTGGTAGATCTACATGTAAAAAGGTATGAGGATTCTATTTGCATGTGCTTTTATAGAACTCTTGGCATCAGACGACAATGCTAAACACACCTCATACCTCCTTAACTTTTTCCCAGCAAAATATAAAGCATGTAAGGATATGTGGAAGTTCAGCCAACTTTTCACAAAAAACATTCCTGTAAAAAATAACGCAAATTAAAGTATGTATATGTCAGAAGGGGTCCCTTCAGGACCAGTTATGTATGTATGAGAGTGAGTTTTTTTCTCACTATGAGCCTTGTATTTAAAAAATGGCTAATATTGAAACTACTATACATTTTCGCATTGATGGAGATGGTATTTTTGTGCATAATATTGATTTAGCTATACTAAGTGTTGGGGTACTAAAAGATAGACTTCTGACGCTAGGACATATTACTTCTAGGGATGCTAGACTCTGCAGAATCAATTGGGGCAGAGAAATAGAAATGACTATGAGGTCTGGTGCTTTGGTCAAAAAATATTTCGGCAGAGAGCATTATTCCAATCTCGACCCCAATCTAATTCACATTGGCATAAAAAATCTTCCTACTGAAATAATGACATCGGTAGCCTTAGACACTGATAAATAGAAGTTATTATTCATATCATGTAGTGATATAGTTGCAATTTTTATGTATTGTAGGCCAGCTTGGTCCCTCTGGGACCCTTCCGGCAACATTTTTATTTCATAAATAAAGTATTATTTTACTAGTTCATCGAGAAAGTGGGTCACGTGAAATGATGCAATGCCTGTGCGACATAAAAAGTAGTAAAAAAAGATTGTAAACAACTGTCTTTCCTATATCCATTACAAGAAAGCATTTTGAATCTTTTTTACCATATTGATACACATTTACTAAAGTGAACAGCCTCTAAGTAGCTGGTAAGCTTATCAAAGTTGAATATACCTTTCGGGTCATTACTCCTTCTATTAATGACGATCACATCAAATGATAAATTTATTTAAAAAATAATATTAAGGTTTCGTATTTTTTATTTGCTTAGATAATTTTATTGAGCTCAAATTATTACAATATTTTAGTAAATACATAATTATTGCCATATGTTAATCATATCAATATGATTGATCCCCAATGGAAAAATGATTCCCTAGAGTGAAATCACGATTGATTTCAAATATAACCCACCAGCCCAGCAAAAGGAACAATTCAAATGGAAGATTTGTCTGACACTGCTAACAGGATTTGGCTTGTCAGAAAAAATAGTTTTATTTAACCGTCCCTGCTTGAATAGACCAAATGTTTTTTCTGCTCAGAATATTGAATAAAAAAAGTAGTACTCGTGGTAATATGAAAAAAATGTAATTACCGTTTATATCGGATGTCGTATTTATCTGAATCCACAACTACTTTTGCTTCAGATAATCGTCACTTCACCATTCCTGTTAGTGCGCATAATAATGATGAAGATTACCACTATAATTATAGCGAAAATTAGATTTTTAAATTCCATTGGGAACTGGAGAGAGAAAGTGATTTTGGGCTCTTTTTTATTAGTTTTTCAAGAAGTCGATCAAATCCTTATAGAGTTTATCTTTTGAATAGTAGTGTGATAGTATTACCAAATAAGTGGATCATACAACAGACTTGTACAATGGCTGAATTTCTCACATATACCCTGCCTCAGTATTTTTCACAAATAAAATTCTTTTTTACTCTTGTCCTCACATATGCCAGTTTGCACCAATAAAATTTCGCAAAAAATACTATATAAGCTGAAATATGTCTATCACTTTATTTTGTCTCGTTAAAGGAGATACAACTGCGAATGCTTTCGAAGTTGATATTGAGTTCATTCTTCTAAAGTCAAGAGTATGGTTCATAAAAAGAATAAAAAACATATTCAATTCACACCATCGGCTAATGAGACCCAGTCCAGAAGCCTTACTGTAACAGATACAGAATTACAAAAACTTGTGCGTCAAGGTCTAATAGTCGATGAAGTTCACGAAGTATTATCATATGATCGAAAAAGTATGCATTGGGTTGATAACTTTATTAATCTTTCGATTAAGCTCGAAAACCAATGTGATGATCCAAGAGAAAAAGCATATCACGCCTTAATGAGAGAACTCTTTAGCATGAAGGTGTTTTATGATGCATCCAGTTAAGATGGTCTCATTTCTAAGGCAGAATATTATGGAAATAAAATAGACAATCGCATAGCGGATTTCATTATTCGAATAGAAAAAGTAAAAAAGGGTAGCTAAGTCATGGATCAGTTGCGACATTACGTCAAGTGGCAATTACGGAAGGAGTGGTAGATTTGCTTAATGATGCCGAAAATAAAGGTCTTGAATCGCGCGGTCAAATAATCATTTTCTAAAATCTATACCGCAGAATATGCTATACGCAATAGAGTAACTTTGTTATGTGAGGAAATCGATCATTTGATGCCGTCATATTTTTGCAAATCTATGAGGATAGATCGTGGGGATAGATCAATGAATAATTAATCCGTCGAAAGTTCTGGCACAATACACGTATTATGAATCTTTGAAAACATTATGCAAATTAATGTCCCTGATGTTAGAATGAGATAAGAATTGGAATTGAGCGTCTTGATCTACTGATTTATGGATCTCGATCCTATGAAATGTAACAGGGATTAGGGGTACTATAGCATCATCCATTCTATATAATAAAATAAAGTCCATTTATGGATTGTTGGTAGATTTGTATGGAGCACGAATAATGATTTTAAACAACATGTAATTATACAAATAAACATGAGCGATCTGCTATGTTTTTCAGATTTGTGCGATCTTAGCAATAAACAGTATATTTCTCAGTAACAACTTCATCTTTATTAGTATTAAATTACGGCTATCGATTTGTCTTAAACCTATAATTTGCCAGATTTTCTTTTAAGCACTATTGTTAAATGCGCCTCAAATTCAGGGAGAGTTATTAGACGTTGTTATAATTGTTATAGATAAAAAAAACGTAATTATGAAAATAATAAAGTAACGTAATTTATCAAATTGAGTAAAATTCTCATTTTCACGTGTAGTAATTATAAAGTATAAAATAAACCTTTTTTTCAGCGCATTTACGCAAGAAAATTGCATATTATAAAACAAAAAAAAACTTTGATTCGATCCACCAATAAGCTCACTTCGCAATAAAATTACTACGCATCAATTTAACCAATCATGTCCATTTCCCTTTTATCAACGTTTCGGAAGACATATCATTTCTGGCTCTTTCTGCTTCTTTTTTACTCATTACTCTAACATCATTTTCCAAAAATTTTTTCTATTCATGGAAATCGTCGTCATGTGGTTGTTCTTATATGTTAATAAGAAAAAGTTGCCGATATGCTTATTGCACATGATTCAAAATTGACCAATAATCTCACTGCACATGATTCGAAAATTGCCAATGAAATCAATGCACATGTATCCAAAATTAATAATACTTTCACTGCAGAGATTAGGGAAAATAACGCTAGTTTCACTAAGAAACTTACTGCGGCAATTGAAAATTTTAATGCACGTAATAACAGCTTTTCTTCGAAAGCGAATGGATTTTTAGCTTCACTTAATACCATCATAAATAAACTTAGTGAAGCTGAAAATACTCTGGAATTACATCATAATAATTTTTGTAGAATTTTGTCCAAATTTACATCAATCAAAGCTTCTATTGAAATTCTTCAAAATGATTTGGCCCAACATTATGCGGTTGTCTGAAAAGCTGATTTTGATCAATAAAGTGTGTCCAATGAATCTGAAACTAATGAACCTGAATTGGAAAGTTCGCTAGACTCTGCCTTAGCTTCAACTAGTTTAAACTCTTCTTCTGAAGGTTCCAATTTATCTGGAATTTTAGATATTACTTCAGACATTAAATTCGCTTTAAACAACACTTCGATCGGCTTATGAAAGTGAGGAATTATACTTTTGATGAGATGTGTTTCTCGGTAGCAGTAGATATTCGTAGTCTTGGAGGAAATATTAAGATCTCAACAGTGAAAAGTTTTTATAATGGTGTTAGTGGTAGTAAAGTTAGCACCGTTAATCAGATAAATGCATGAGTAGCTAGTTTTAGGTAATGGGAAGGAACTGCAAATCTTATGTGTTAGGCTTGGCTTTATTCCTCCTTGCTTCTCTATCGTTTTTACTTAGCCAGCCTTTTCTCATGTATTACTTTACGAAAAATATAATAAATAGCTTTGTTTCAATTTTTTAAAACTGTTTGTGTATTTTACACATTCGCAAATTTGGGCAACTGGTAAAAAATTCTGCACAATAATGACATCACACATGGCCATTTTTTATAGCTTTGCTCGAAAGTTCTGACATATATTTTAATAAAAAAACTGTTCCTGAATTTGTATGTCGCATGCTCGCGATTCGAAACAAATGTATTATCCCGTTTGCGTTAGCACACTTAATAATATGCGTATACACTAAATTCTAATTCCATTCTGAGACGAGACGCAGTAGAATTATTCTGATTTTTTTCCTTTTTGAGGATACATAGAATAGGGGAGGGGTAATGCATTTTTAAGTAATTACTACTATATCGTCAATCATCCTTCGTGATGTGATCATACAAAGGCTATTCAAAAAGCCCTGTTGATTCTAGACCCTGTGTAAATTATATAAAAGAGAGACGTCCTAGTTAGTGAATCTATTTATTCGTCTTGTGCAAATAAAAAAAAATAAGCGAAACATTCAAGCTTACCATAATTTACATCGATATTATCTCCAATCAAACAAACGAGTATATTCCGTAAAGTATTATAAGGTATGTTAGTTTTATTGCTCGGCTAGCTTCTTGAAACATGTCATCATGATGTTAATTGATTTTCCCACCTCTACAGATGTTCCAAAACAAACTGGACAACAATACTCTTTTTACTATATATCGGCATTTTGATCTTCATCGAGAAAATCACAGACCATCATCACGCGTACAATAGACGCAGTGAAATTACTCATATGAATCTCGTCATATGCAACTTCACAGCAAAGGTCTGGCGTAGTATATTAGGAATCATAAGCATCTTCACTTGCCGAATTCTACGCAGTATCGTATATAGGATAAAAAAATCAAAATACCTTTATTATAATGCGTTAAGCAATAAATTTCAGACGGAATGGAATGTTGCGAAAATTAATAGTAATGGTAAGTGTATATTACATTGCCTTATTTTTTATCTCAATTGCTAATCCCAAATTTATGCTGTAAGTTTGAAATTACCTAATCTCAGAGAAGTTTTCTTACAGGGAATATTATTTTATATTGTCTGTGTGGGTGGGAATGATATAGATATGCGAAAATTTGTATGGGATAATTTATTTCAGAAATCTAGTGTAGAAAAAAAGTATTGGTGCAATAGTGATAGGAAAAAAACAGTTAGTATAGAAATTTACAATAGAGCAAAGAAATAATGTGATGCTGGGACTCGCATTAAATGGCCTAGGATCTGCGTACTCCCTCCCTCTTTGATAGCATCATACATTTCACTCTCTTCTCCAGTATTTTCAGATTCGTATCTAAAAAATCATTAATAAATTTTTTTTCTTTGCAAAAAACCGTTACCATTGGTAACGATTTACCCCAGTAACACCAACAAAATTTTCATCCCTTTTTCTTGCTATTCTGGTAGTGCATGTCAGAATTGCACTCGCTTTTTGAAACTTTTAATAAGAAAGTTATAATAATTTTTGTAAAAACGTTTAAAAATAGTGTTTTTCTTCTTTTATTACTCATTATTTCCAAGTGTTTAATAAAATTTTTTCCATTTTTGAGATATTTAAAATGCTGATTCAAAAATTTTAAAAAATATAGAAAAGAAACAAAAAAAAATATATAACGATAAATTTGAGCATTGCGTCATGTTTAAAAAATAGTTTTTATTTTGTGATGGATTGATTATCGCCTGATATTTCGGTTTAAACATGGGGTAATTTTTTTTTACTTATATGTCTTCAGTTCGGTCTTATGACTATCATGTTGTGTAACCATAAGTTGGCCCCCCGTTTATTTATCTATCCTCTAGGTGTTACTGGGGAAGATATTAGTAACGATCAGAATCACGTGACTTTAAATAAAAATGAGTGGTGACAATCTCGTGGTAGCGATCATAAATCTAGAAATTAATCATTTTTCTTTTATTTTTATTCAACCCTAACAATAAATCAATAAAATAATATACTCATGTCAGTTCACGAATATTTCAACCGAAACCAAGAAAGCTGGAGCATTTCCGACTTTTTGAGCGAGTGCAAACTAGAACCGTTTGACCGAAAGACAGACTGTTATATAAAATCTCTTAAACTCATCGCTGAATTTGATCATGGTAACAGGCAAGAATGCGCCAAGGTGCTTCTTGATAGGTGGTATAAAGAGGCAAGTAAAGAATCTTTTTTTGCTGAAAGATAGTTTGTGGCGTGTCAGGAGGCCTTCTCGGTCGTCTGACATTCAAGGCTTTTCGCTGAGCCTGCATTGGACTCACTGGGGCACAGGAGGCCTTCTCGGTCGCCTGACATTCAAGGCTTTTCGCTGAGCCTGCATTGGACTCACTGGGGCACAGGAGGCCTTCTCGGTCGCTATGATGTTCGGTGGGATGGAAATCAATGATAAATTGAGTCAGTCAGTCAAAGAACACAATTACTAATTCCTTCCGTACCTTACATACTTAGGATGACCGTAAAAAAGCCAAAAATTGGAACGATAAGCGACGTGATCAGATTCACATCAACCAGCCAATTAGCGGGGATGGAAATATATTATGTATTAATGGTAATATCAATGGCGGAACCCTCACTGGATATTCATCAAAACGAGACCAAGAGGTAATTATTTTAGCTGTAAGTTGTGAGTTGGTGATTGTCCGATAGAAACTAACTCTTCCTTTTATACTTAGTCCGATGATGATTTCCAACCTCCGAAAGCGCCCTCAACGAAGAGAAAAAAACAATTATCTCTACCAAAAAGGTTAGGATATTGATAAAACCTAAATTTTATGCAAGCGTTTTTTAATGACTACTTTTAATATTTACAGAGCAAAGAATCGGTCAAGTTGACCGGTTCAAAGAAGGTGTGTATAGAATGCAACCCTATGATGAGGTGCGAATTCTCTAAAAATTTTCTTGTATGAACAGGCCAAAACCACCGGCAGGAAAGAAAACGTGGATGACAATATTGATAATTCATTCATCAGTGATTCATCATCAAGTTCAATTAAAACCGCACGAAGTTCCTTCATGTCTGCTTCCCTTGATAACAAACAAGATCTTGATAGCATATCATCTGGCTCAGAAGGGAGGGAGACCAAATCCGTTGATGTAGTTCAAGTTGAAGAGGAAATTCGGGAACTTACTCAGGTATTTTATTATTTGTAATTTTTGTAATTTTATTGCTTTTTATAAATAATAACTATATTCTCTTCTATTTATTTTTCTAGGACGAAATAAGCATCCGTAATAAACTACTCACCATTTTGTCTATACAACAAGAGAAGGATATAAAGTCTGGAAAAGATTTTTTATCATCATCATCTCTTAATAATATTATCGATTTATCTAACAATGAGGTGCAAACAGAAGTTATTAAATCGTTAAATACGAATCAAATTGACTGGATTAACAAATTTCTCAGTAAAAAAGTCTGGAATCAAACACGTGAATTTCAGCAATATATAAGTCAATTCAATGAAGGTGTGTGCGACAGAGTACACATTCCTGTTCTTGTTCGGGAGTCCTTTGTTCCGAAAGGATCGTTTAATTCTTACATTCATGAGGCTCACGACATCGCTCAACAAATTTTGACTCATTTGTAGGTATTTATTTAGAATATTTGAATAATCCATCAACAAATAACTTGACTAATTCTTTTTAAATAGTTCTGTACGCTTGAAGCGCCAAGAAGGGTAGAGTCCGAAAGTCTCGACTATGAAAGGACATACTCGATCGATACAGTAATATATATTATCAACAGACTGTTTCGTATGCACCAGGATGTTGTTGATCTTGTGTGGTAATATCAATTGTTAAATTCAAAATTTTTGAGCTACTAGCTTATTTATTCTCTATTAATTTATTTAGGATAGAGTTAACCACCCCCGATACGAAAAAACATAAAATCGACGGACTAACTAAGATTATCAACACAACTCAAAAGAATCAAACAATAATATTAGTCGAGTTCTCATTTGGCAGGCGGGCACCTCAATCGAAAGAAGACAACGATCAGATTAAGTTATACAGGAACTCTATGAGAACTCTGAACAAATTATTGCAAAGCATGCCTAAAGACATTGCAAGAGTTTATTTGATACAATCTGCCAGTAAGTATCTTAATTACACATATTGATTTGATGTTGAGTAATAAAGGCCTAATAATTTATGGATATCTGATTATTTATAGATGGTTTGACTAAAATCAAGTACCTAGTTCGTCCATTGCCATCGATCTACATCCTTCAATTGTTTACGTGTATTAAAATACCCGTATCTTTCGATGACTTCGAACAATTTGCAAAAAAAATTGTTGATTTGATGGAATGGCAGGTATGAGTTGGAAATGTCCAAATGTTCACAATATGATCTTATCAAATACTAACATTAACTGATTTTGGTATTGTAGGTTGATGTGTTATCAACAGTTAGAAAAATGAATAAAGTCACGATTGGAAATACACATAACCATATAACCTCAGTGCAAGATACACCGGAAAAGAAAAAGGAAGCGGAAAAAAATCAACCTTCATCTCCAAAATCCCCGTGTCCTGGTGGATCAATTTCGGAATTACCATCACTGATTTAGAAAATAAGAAACTAGATCCTTTTTTTATGCTAATGCTTATATTTTTTTCTTCGTATAATATTCTAAGCAAAACAATCAATTAATTTTTCTGCATGCAATATGTGTTTTTATTCATAATAATACGCTGAAAATAGTCATGACAGCCAAAAAATATAATTGTGTACGCTATTAACTATTTTCGCTAATTAATGTAAATGTAATATATCAAATTTACAAAATTATTTTCTTGTAAAGTGATTAATATTACCATGCATTGTATTAACTAAACCATACAGTATTTTTGATCGATAAAAGTGATCGGCATTCTTTTTCGGAACACGCACGTGAATGTTTGTTTATATAACATGAGCATATATGCTATTCATCCAACTTTAAGGGCGTGTCCCATCATAATCTAATTGCGAGAGGATCGTTGGATGCTTTAGTAAAACCAAAGACCACGAAATTTCTATATCGCAAATGCTTTTCTTTGGATCATCCGTATATTGACGCACATGTCTTCTCGAAATCCACTCCTAGTGGAATCATTTATATTCTGTATTAATAAAGCGACTCTGGTCGATTCACATGTACACATTTTCGTGTGAGTGGATGTGCATCGGAAAAATACTTATATTCCCGTTTTTTGATTGATTTTTTTTCTTGATGACTATTCATGGTCAGATAACATATTAATTCATAAGTGAAATTTTTCTTGGCAGAAACCGTTACCATTGGTAACGATCAAAGTCTTGGCATTTTTTTGCATTTTTTTTCTCTGGCTTTGAACATATGTGCGAAAAGGCAAGACAGCATCAATGTGTGATGTAAACATGGGTAGGGCTATGATAGGAAAACTTTTTCATTATCAACTATAACGGCTTTGTCTAAGGATGACATTAAATACGTAATTGCTAAAGTGCTTCGGGATAGTGTATTACGCCACACATTACTGTGCCTGTGACTTGCACGTCCGGCAATATCTCTTAGTGTTCTGAAAACATATATTAATAAAGTTTAGCCTGTTCGGCCATTTATTTTTTGATTGATACTGACTACTATATAATTAATGGACACGCATGTCCAGATTTTTTGATCGATAGTGACACCACATAATTAGTGGACATGCATGTCCAGATTTTTTTGATCGATACATGCCTGTCCAAAATTTTCTTATAAGCGCCTCCCTTGCACCTTTGATACTGCGGGGGTGACCTACATTAATAGTATAACCCCCTCACTTGATATTAAATATGAGGAATTAAACTGCCCCTCGCCGATCATCTCTTGATTTATCGAAACTCGCCAGCTCCTGGAACACTCCTAGAACTATCGAGGAACTGGCAGGGAGATCATAATATGTGATACAAATTTTAGCCGACGGAGCTCTAATTTAGCCGAATCAAAAAATTATGAATCTGTCTTCTGATTAGCCGATCATCTCGTGATTCGTGTTGGGAGAAGATTACCTGGGAGCTAGGGTGGTACTTGTGGTACTTGTGATACGATATACAGTACGTCATACAGTAACACCTCTATAAATGCACGCTCTATAAATGCATACCCTCTCTATATGCACACTATAGCTTGGTCCCAAGCTTGGGACTTAGAGCTAAATGCACACCCTCTATATTCTACACGTGCAAGTAATTTTAAGTCCCGGGTATAATTGGAATACCTCTATAAATGCACTCGCGTGACTAACACATAAATCCAGCCAATCAGAAACAACCGTTTATTCACGTGATTGATTTTATTATCGAAGTAAAATATACTATTTGACAGTGATGGCAAGTGACCTGAAATGACCCAAATGACTTTGATGACTGGTCACTAGTCATTAGGTCACTTTAAAAAC